ACCTCATCGACGTCTACATCCCAGACGGTCCTGAGACTATCATCTACCGTTGCGAGCAGCAACCGTGCCCGAATCGAACACCCCGATCGATCCCAGAAGATTACCCGCGCTACAAAGCGATCCGACGAGCGCAACACCCACTCGGACCCCGAAGCACCCTAGCATCTCGATCGGCCTCGCGGCACTCTCGCCCTGTCTCCCCTAGCTCCCGTCTCCCTCAAACTGTCATCACCGATCCAGATCAAGCGCGAGGAGATCTCCCTCCAGACCCTGCGCCAGAGCCAGAGCCTGAGGAGAGTGAGGGTGAAGAAGGAGTCTCGGAGTCCGAGTCCGAGGATTCTGTTGGGTCCGCCTCGCCGACAGCGTTCGCCCCCGCGTCAGCAGTCCCTGACGTACGTGACCCCCCCCCGCCGAACTTCCTCCGGCGCCTTCACCGCCGACTCCGCCGAGAGGCCGCTCGAGCACTCGCTCCTCTCGAAGTTCGGCCAGCGGAAGGCCACCACAGCTGCCTCCGCCCCCGCAACGTCCTCCGTCCCCCCCGACGCCGATAATGTCGTCCCCTGCAGCCGCCCCCGACAAGGAGACCCTAAAGCTCCTCCTCCCCCTCCGCTATGACGGCAAAACCGTCATCGAATGCGACAGGTTCCTGTCGCAACTTCGTATCTACTGGTTGATCAACATGTCGTTGACGACCATCGAGCTGAAGGTACAAGTTGCGCTAAGCCTGCTCGATGGCGACGCCCGCGCCTGGGCCACGCCTTACTTCGCCCAACTCGCATCAGTGCAGATGGGTGTGCAAGGGGTCACAACCCCCTTCAGGAACGAAGCGGCCTTCACCGCTGCCTTCACAGCTCGCTTCGGCAATCTCGACGATGCGGCAGCAGCCCAGGTGGAGCTGGCGAAGCTCTGCGCGGACAAGTCGGTCCGCGAAAAACGCACGACGGCGGAATTCTCCGCGCTGTTCAAGGGTCCGGCGGACCGTTCCGGGTATGGGGACCTGGAACTACGCGACAAGTACCTGAGCGGTATCCCCTCCCGCGTATATCGCAAGATCGAGCTCGAGACCTTCACCACGTGGCGAGCCGCTGAAAAGCGAGCCACTGAGGTCGAGCAGATCCTCGACATCAGCCGGGCCCGTCGGCCCGAGTTGAACAACTTCTTCTCGGCCTGAGGTCGAGGTCGCGGAGGGGCACGTGGAGGTACACCTACGACACACGCAGCTTCGGCCAGCATCAATGCGGCCGTCGGAAAAGGAGACTTCCCTGGCACATGCTTTGGCTGCGGGAAGCAAGGGTACCGTCGTTTTGAGTGCCCTAATTGTAAGGATAAGCCTTACACAAAACGCGCCGATGCGCGGGCTACGGTTGCCTCGGGTTCCACCCAGGCGGCGACAAGCGCCCCCGTCGCTTCATCCTCGGCGAGTACAAGCGCCGCTTCAGCGAAATCGGAAAGCTCCGAGCTGGCGGACTTGATAGCACAGATGAAGTCGATGCGCGAGGAGCTCGAGCACTATCGAGCCATGAAGGAGGAGTCTTTTTAATCCGGTCCGCGCTTCGTGCCGCACGCGTCGGGCCGCGTAATAACAACATGTACAATGTATTGGCTACTGCGAATATTTACGAATTGGACCACGGGTCCCAGCACTTCCACATTCCAGTACGTCTCAAGGGAGAAAGACGGCACAAGGACATAGTTGCAATGGTAGACAGCGGGGCTACCACGAAGTTCATCAACAAGCGTTTCATCAAGGAGAATCGAGTACGAACGCGGAAATTGAAAGAGCCAATTCCGCTTTACAATATCGATGGAACGCTCAATAAAGATGGAAGCATCTCGGAGGTAGCAGTGCTACAGATGCAGATAGGAGAGCACGTCGAAAAGACGGTGTTCACGGTCACGGACATAGGTCCAGAAGATGTGATCGTCGGGTTGGATTGGCTGCGAGAGCACAACCCCGAAATCGATTGGGAGTCAGGCTCCCTGAAATTATCACGATGCCCTGAAACGTGTAGTGCCAGGAAGACTAGCCGGATGGAGCAAACAGCGACTGCGCGTGATACGGGGGTCAGGCCCACGGCGCATAGACGCTCGCAGAAGTCCAGACAGTCGGTCATAGGTGCTTGCCGGAGTAAGGTACTCCCGGACTTCGAACCCGAGGATGATCCGGTGGAGGTAGAGTGGGACGAAGCTGACTTGATCGAGGCCTGGGAGCAGGGTATCACGCTTCCCGGCGCCCCTCAGCTGTTCGTCGCAGCGGGGCACACGTATTCCCAGCTGTTCGCTGAGGAAGAGATCAAGAAGAAGGTCGTCAAAACCGCCGAGGAGTCGGTACCTAAACAGTACCACGAGTTCCTGAACGTCTTCTCCAAAGAAGCGTCAGAACGGCTACCCGAAAGGAAGCCTTATGATCATGCGATCGAACTCGTACCCGGCTACTCGACATTCCACTCAAAGGTGTATCCCCTGTCGAACAACGAACAAGAGGAACTGGACAAGTTCCTCAAGGAGCAACTAGCGAAGGGCTACATACGGGGGTTGAAGTCGCCCATTTTGTCCCCCTTCTTCTTCATCAAAAAGAAGGAAGGGACGCTTCGGCCCGTGCAGGACTACCGCCGATTGAACGCGATCACGGTCAAAAATCGTTATCCCTTGCCGTTGATCGCCAAAATGGTGGACAAGCTCCGTGGCGCTACGCTCTTTACGAAGTTCGATGTCCGATGGGGATACAACAATGTCCAGATCAAGGCCGGTGATGAGTGGAAGGCGGCCTTTGTAACTAACCGGGGACTATACAAACCCCTGGTGATGTTTTTTGGTCTCACTAATTCCCCCACGACCTTCCAGGCCATGATGAATGAGATCTTCCACAATCTCATTGTCGGTGGCAAGATCCTCGTATACCTGGACGACATACTCATCTTCTCTACCAATAAGGAGGAGCATGAGAGGGTCACACGCGAGGTTCTACGTCGCCTTCAGGACAACGATCTATTCCTGAAGCCTGAGAAGTGCGAATGGGATGTTCCCAAGGTCGACTACATCGGCTATGTGTTCAGTGGCGATGAGGTGGTGATGGATCCCGCAAAGCTGAAAGGAATCAATGAGTGGCCGGTACCCCGGAACAAAAAAGATGTCCAGAAGTTCCAGGNGTTCTCCAACTTCTACCGCCGCTTCATCAAAGACTTCGCTAAGATCTCGCGACCACTC